AACCTCAGACAATAGAACAGTTTTCCTGAAATTAGCATTTGCTTCTTAGACCCATAGCCATGAATAACACCCACTCCTTATGCTCAGAATGTAAAATATGAGCTCCAGGACAAATGATAATAAATGAGCCCAAATGAATTCTCCCCTCCAGGAAATGATTTAATAAGTAAGGCTCCCCCATCAGATACTTCTTCAGGGAATGTGATGTAAGTGTAAGGTGAAGTACTATCACAAAAACCGTGTGTGTATATTCCTACCAGATCTATTAGCCAGGGAAATATAAGTCAGGGTCAAGATGACTGTACCCTTAAACTGACATTACATATCATTTTGGCAGGAGGAGCTGTTTTGAGTTTCTTGATCTCTCTGTAGATGTTAAAACAATCCTGCTGACTGTTGAGGACCAGTCCTGTTACCTCCACTCACTTGTCACTGCCTCTGCTTCTTGCTCCAAAAGGATGATACAAAGATCCAGTCAATCATAGGAAAACATACAAAGAGTAAGGAAAGGGATGCAATTCCTCATAACATGATGTGATTATTGACTATGGGAAAGTGTTCAGGGTACAAAAACAACCCAGAAGGACAGAATGAGTGATGGTGCTGTGCATTCATGAGCACTTTTCTCTTTCCAGAAGCAGACGATCTTTGGGAAACTCCTGAGTGACAGAGGTAAGTGAAACTGCCAGTGGGTGGTGCATGGGCATCTCTAATGCTTGCAGATCCGAGCTGAGCGCTGCCTTTACCCATCACATGTATTCTATTTACATCACAGCAGAGGGAGCGTCAGCAAAGCATCTCAGAGGAGCAACCTTTTGTTATACCTACAGCTGTTCCTTTCCCTGTTAGTGCAACCAACACAAAAATAATGACAATAATAAGGCTCATGCAGTTAATTGATTCACCATTTTGTGACCATTGCAGCCAGCTCGGCCATAGCTTGGCTACTGCAGCTTGTGTTCCCGTGATTTCTTACAGGGAAAGAAACACCTGAAATACCTCAGGATGTTTAGGATCCATTCACCTGGCTGCTTCTCTCAACAGTTCACTTCATTCTGGCCTTTTTTCCCTATCTGCTAGAAGGCCATACCAAGATGTTGATTTTTCTAGTGCTGTCCTCCGTGCTCTGCACTGAGGGACTGTATTTGAAATCAGTGAGTGAGTTGTGTGTTAGGAAATAGCTCTGGCACTAAAATGCTTAAAATTGCTCTTTGTTTCTCTGACTTCTCTCCTAATTTGGATTATCCCCCCAGACTTGCCCACAAGATGGAATACTAAGAAAATATTGTTTTGTTTAATTTGTTTTCTGATGTCCACATTTCTCATGTTTCCTGTTCCAAATTCAAAGTGAGCCTGAGTTCCTCCACTAACATTGCTCTGGCTGTTATTTTGAGGATCTGAGAGAGGGGATTAAAAATAAATGAAGTGTGGGTAATGTGTTTTTTGCCACAGGTTCTCTTAGGCAAGTCAGTAAAAAGTTATTCACATTTGTCTCTTTTTAGGTTAAATAGATAGATTAGATGAAGGGTATTACTAACACACGTCAAGGTATTAAAACATGGATGCCTAAATTTGGGCTCCTAATTTTGTATTTTGAGCCTCTAAATAAGGCTTGATCTTATGTCCTTTGAAGTCAATGCCAAAGCATTGACTGAGTTCAATCTGCAAGATGAAGTCCTAAATTATTCTTAAAAGTCCTCAGCGCCTCACAGCTCCAAATAAGTCATCACCCTGCCTCTTTGCAAATCACGCGTCTTTCCTTAAGTTCCTAAACATGGGGCTCATGCTTTTAGGTATTCCATATTTAAAATCCTGCCTGTTAATGATTTCTGTCTCAGGGGCCATGGACATGGGAACCTAACAAGGCTAATAAAGAAGCATAGCTGGGACACAGATAGATTTGCTTTCTTGATGAGCAGTTCTTAGCACGAACACTGCAGATTCTATAGCAATGTCAGTATTTATTATGGTGTACAGTTAACATGGAAGGCACATGAATGTCCTTGCTGGTGCCAGAATTCAGCAAGTACATGACCATTTGCACAAACTTCACACACACTGCTCTCCTGGTAACAGGATGTTGGCAGGTGGGAAGATCACAGGATCCAGATGAAACATAAAACGAGATGAGCAATCCCGTAGTGGTAATTTTAGAAGCTGGGTTCTGTACATTATTTACAGTACATTGTAGCTTTACGGGGATAAGGCTGCCCCTTGCCACTCATGGATTTAATGTTTTCTGTGGGGTTTCTGTAGGGGACTTTCCTCAAAGCAGCAGCTGGAGGGATTTTGTCCATCCAGAGAAGTGTTATAATTGGAAATTATTTGCAGTAATTCATAGAATGCTTATCTATCATGAGGGGAAAAGGCACCTAAGACCTTCCACCAGATAAAAGGATTGAGTGAGTTAATCTGCTTGCTGCTGGTCTGAAGTGCAGAGGCCTGGCATAAAGACAGACCTGTTCACAGTGAACAGGGACAGAGTTGGACAGGGTTTCTGCCTCCGGGAATTTTAAATTGGCTTTACCTTCAGTTAATGAAATATCCCCTCTTTTTCCTGGGGGAGGTTGAATTCTCCCTGTCTCTTGGAAGGCATTTTTGGCAATTGCATCCTGAACATGGGGAACTCCAGTTATTTTGGATGGGTATTTGTTTCTTCAGAAACCCTCTGCAGAAAAAGCAAAGGAAAAGGGATTATTTTGCAATGTTTGAACAACACCCACCACACCACAATAGGAATGTGAACCTTGAGGAGAAAGGGTTTATATTCTCCTTCAGGCTTTCACCTGGGCTGGATTTCTACCCTTGCCCAGATGGAAGGCTGTGGGTACAAGGGGTGTGGGGTGTGACCTGCAGCTGGGGCAGTGGAGGGGCCAGATGGGAGCTGCTCCTTGTTCAGGCAGACCTGTCACTCATCTCCCAGCCTTCCTCAGGATCAGTGTGACCAGGGCAACATCCCCACATACTGCACCAAGGGTTGACACAACATCTTTTAAAATTAAACAAAGGGACAAACAGGTCTAAGATCTACTAAAACCAAAGATTTCTTCTATTTTTTTTTTTTTTTTTGGGGGGGGGAGGTGGGAGATGGGGGTGGGGTTTTTTCATGTGTTTCTCTCAGCCAGCAGGTGCCTCTATAGAGCCAATGCTTTGCCTGTATGAGTCTGTGGCACAGCATTGGAATACCTGCTTTTAAATGACAATATAGCATTTTCTTTCTTCAGTGTCTTTTCCCCCTACCCCTTCCACCAGTCCATGGTGAGCCCTGGGATCTGCCAGCCTGGAAATCTTCCACTCCATCTGCCACATAAGGTCCTTGGAGGATGAAAGCAGGAGAAAGATGTATGCTGTCGCTCGCATATTGTTACTATGTATGCAGTATGAACAAATTTTCTGTGCGAAGGGAACCAGGTAGCTCAGTTGGGGAATGCCCGCATCAAACTCAGTGAGACAAAGCTGCCTCTTTGCACTTCCAATACCTTCTCAGAAAGCAGGGTGGGGTTTGTCTGGCAAAACCTTCACCCCTTCCACACGACACCCTTCTGCACACCCGGGCATCACTCAGCCAGTACAGGCAGGCCCGAGCCACCAGAGAATAGCACTGGGTTAAGAAAAATAAAACCCACCTGAGGATAACGCTCCTTTAGCCCTTTAACACATAGGTGCTAAGAAATCACTGTATCTGAAAAGCCAAGTCCTGTGGGGGGTGGTCAGATGATGGTTGTGATTACAATTTGTCCCCCGCCGCCCCTCTCCCCAAATGGCTCTGCTGGACTTTGGAACAATTCCCACGGGCAAAGTGAATTTTGACCCGAACATGTATCCATCGGCACGGCAGAAAGCGTGGCGAGAAAGCTGAGAAGGGAGCTGGGTTTGAAATGCGCGAGCCGCGGGGCTACAGCTCCAGCGTACGGAACCGCGGGGCTACAGCCTCCGCGGCCAGCTTGGAGGGCGGGGAGAAGGCCGGGCCATCGCCGAGGAGGTGGGACTTGCCGGAGCGTCTCTCCCCGTGGCCGCTGTGATCAGTTGCAGAGTGCTGACGAGCGGCGGGTGGTGGGGCGGGCGCTGCGCGGGGAGCGGGCGCTACGCGGAGGCGCCGCTGGAGTGCGCGGAGCGGGGCTGCCGCCGCGCCGGGGGCGAGGAGCGCACGCCGTGCCGGCGGGGGACAGCGCGCCGCGGGAGCAGCCTTCCCCGGGCACCGGGACCTGCTGTTAGCTTGTCGCCTTGCTTTATCCTCTCATTTAATTTATTTTTTCCCTACCTATACTTTGATCCGCTGGGATTTTTTTTTTCCTCCCTTTCCTACAGAGCCTTCCCACGCCCCAGTTCCCTCCCTCTCTATCCAGCTTGGATTTTTTTCTTTTTTTTTTTTCCTCCATATATTACTATTCTGATTTTTTTTTTTTAAAGCGGTGGACAGAGAGAGGAAAAGACAGTAACAGAGAAGACAGGAGGAAAACGCTCTGTTCGTCCTTTCCGCCACCACCACCCCGATTTGCGGAGAGGGGTCGAGCCAAGCGGCGGCGGAATCAGCCCCTTTTCCCTGGGGAGGCGACCCCGGCTCGGGGAGCCGCCGGTGGCAGCCGCCGCGAAGAGGGGGCGCAGGAAAAGAGATGCATTGAAAGTTTCCGCGCAAACTTTGCCGTTGAGTGCGCGAAACCGAGCGAGCGCAGCGCGGGTGCCTGCCTGCCCCGACGCGGGGAGAGCGCCGCGGACGGGCGCCGCTGTGGAGCTCGGACTGCCTGGCGGCGGGGGCCGGGCGGCGGCAGGGCGGCCGCGGAGCCTGCGCTCGGCCCGGCGGAGCGCACAAGGAAAGAAGCAGCGGGGACCGGCGGAGAGCCGGGCTTATGGAGGGGTGAAACCGGAGACCCTGAAGAGGAACTCCCCTTCCCCCGGAACCCTTCGCAGCGCCCGGCCGGCGGCACCCCAGGAGGCAGCGGCGGGCACGGAGGAGGCGCGGGCGAGAGCGCGGCGGGGCGGCGGCGGCGGGGCGGCGACGGCGAGGCGGAGCACGGCGGGCCCCGCTTCGCGGCGTGCGCCGGCAACCATGAACTTTCTGCTCACTTGGATCCACTGGGGGTTGGCGGCGCTGCTCTATCTGCAGAGCGCGGAGGTAAGCGGCGGGACGAGGGCTTTTGTGCCCCGCGTAGCGGAGGGGGAGGGAAGGGAGACGGCCGAAATTACTTTTCCCCCTTCTTTTTGTTTTCTCTCGCCTCCTTCCCCCCGCCCCCCACCCTTTGCCTCCCACCTGCTCGGTGCGGTGCGGCCGAGCCGCTGGCGCCGGGTGCGAGTGGGTGCCCACAGCACCGACACGTGTGCGTGTGTGCGTGCGGTGCTGCGGCGGGGGGCCAGCGCTGGCCGGAGCTCCGCGGGGCCCCGGGGCAGCGGCAGCGCCGTGCGGAGTGCCCGCGCACATGAACGCGACGCGGCCGTGAGGGTCCCGCCGGGGCCGGGGCGCTGCGGTCGGCGGGGCTTGGGGCAGGGAGGCAGCGCGCTGCCTTCTTGCATCAGCCTCGGGTCTCCTGACATTGCAAAAGGCTGTTTCGGCGGTATTTGCCTTGGGTCCCAGCTCGGGTTCGTGCCGCCGAGTGGAGTTCAAAATGCCTAGCTGGAAAAACAAATAAGAGATCAAAGGGGACAAAATGGATCCAGAATTTCTTGTAGATTGGAAAAAAAAATTAATCAAAATATATTTCCTGCACCGCGATTACAAAACCAAAGATTTTTCTCTTCCTCTTCAGTCACTTTTACCTCATTGTCATTCTTGAGGAATTAGAAACCAACTCTTCCTCCTTTCCTATTTTAAAGAAAAAAGAAGGGCAGCTTTCTTTGCAAACCTGTCCTATAAATCTGTTTTCTAAAGAGTCAAGAGGGCTGTGTTGCCAAGAGATATTAAGGGGTTTAGACAGAGTGCCCACGTGAAAGTGGCTGTTCACGAGGCAGGCATGGATTACGTTTTAAAGGTTATAACAGGTTAGTTCTCTCCTGCCATTTCTTCTCCACAGTTGGAGAGAGCGCAGGCCAGATCATCTCCCACAATTGTGAAAATAAACGTCGCTTGCAAACTAATCAGTTATTCACATTGTTTGTTCAGCACCGATGCTGGAAGGCAACTCCCCAATTAGGAGCCATTTCAGCTGTAACTGAAGTCATGCAAGCACTGCACGCTTTGTTTCTAGCCTGTTATATCTCTACTTTATCCAGTGACAGCCGCACATTAGGCTGTGCTCGGCCATGCTCGATGGGAACTGAGGCGCACTGTCACTTGAGTGTGGCACAGAGCAACTCCCTGCTGCCTTCCTGCCAGATTTGGCTGGTGGGACAATTGTTTCTGCTCTCCAGGAGTTTTTCCACTGTCACCCAGAACAGGGGTTTCTTTGCCTCCCAGCTCCTCAGTAAACTCGTACAGTAGCATCTGTTCCCCACCTATAGTATAGACAATTCTGTATCAGTGTCCTGTGACAACACCCTTTAACCCTCCCCTTGTTCCTTTCCCCTCCCCTTCCTCTTCCCCAGAAGAGGAAACAGCGGATCAGGTAGAGTTGACATCTGTCTGTCCTCAAGAGTTCCATAAAAGTCTCATGCTGCTTTTTCTCCTAGGCCAGAGGATGGTGCAGATGAGGAAACAGTATAATGTGGAAAAAATGGTAGGGGAGAATTACAGGAGTTTGGGGGGAAATGTTGCAGAGGGATGGCTAGGGCTTCAGGTACCTGGGTGATGTGGGCTATATAAGTGCTTAGGCAGATTGACGGTGAGATCTGTCCTTCGATTCTGTCCTTATTTGTCCGTTGGTTGTCTGGGCACCACGGTGATAGGAACATTAGAAATACCAGCAGATCTCATGTAGGCAGCTTGATGATGACTGAGCATGGCAGAAGGCATGACTCTTCACATGGGACTAGGGTTTGTGCTTTGATGATAATATTTATCTGGCTCTCAGACTGATCTATCTAGCTAGCCAGGCACATTAGAGAGCATTAAATAAAAGCCCTGACAGAGTCTGAGTTGGGGAAGCAGGATCCAGCGCAGCTTTCCTGGAAGTGAAGGAGAAGGGATGAAGGAATCACGGTGCTCCTCTGGTGAAGGTTCAGGGGGATGACTCCTTACTGAGGTTAAGGTTGCTCCTGCAGCAAGACATGGATGGTGGGAAATTGTTTCATGGTTGGGTCTGGGCAGCACTGATGCCACAGGTGTCTGCCTACATTGGTGGCAATAGCCTTTCCATGCAGGCAAGGGAGGGAAGGGCACTTTTGCCACCCTCCCAGCTGACTGATTGTGTTGAGCGGCGTGCAGTCCTCACACACTACGGGATTAGAGAGGTTGCACTGTTGTCCTCTTCCAGTCCTCCCTTTCCTAGAGAACAGGGGGCAGCTACTTATTGCCCATCTTCATTCATCTGTGGGTCTTGCTGCCAGCCTGATGACAGGTCACTCCTGATGATGGTCTGGGAGCTCTTCCCCTCCTGCCCTGAACCAGCAGAGGGACCTGGATATAGCAGCTGTATTGCCATAGGAAGAGGCAGTGATCAGACACTGAGGGAGGGAGAACAAGCCTGTGACTAGACTGTTAATGATCGCAGACCCACCAGGCTGCCTGCTTTTGCTGTGCCTCTGTACCACGCTACGATGGGGAACCACCAAAACCTGCTTCCACAGCCCTTAGGCAGCTGGGACACAGCAGGTCACCTTCCCCAGAGCTGTTCCTGTGCTCTGAGGACAGGCTGGAAAGAGAAGCACTCCTCTGGGAGCAGGGAAGAGAGATGTCTGAGGGGCTCACTGATTCCTGAGCAACCCCAAAATCATTCTCCTGCCTGTTCTGTCAGAGGTTCCTTGGCTATACTGGCAGCTTGCAGGATTGCTGACCTCTGTATGCATGTACAATGGAGGAGTGTAGTGAGTCCCATTACCCCCCTCTCCTAAGCAGAAAACGCTGAGAATTTCTAGTGCCTAAGATGAGAAGTGCCTTAACTCCTGTCCCAGAGTCCCTCTCAAAGTGGATGGATTGTTTGTTCCAGTCCTAAACAGTTACAAAGCTCTTTTAATGAGGCTGCACAGATTAGGGGGAGGGGAAAGGAGAGAAAGAGTGCTGGTGGTGGTGGTGAGGGGGGGTGATGGTTAGAGAGGAATGACTTGATTAACCTTTTCTCTCCCTTCAGAGAAAAGCTTGCTTTGGACAGGGACTGGGGGAGAAGGAGGATGGGGAAGGTACAGATGCATGGATGGTGTGAAGTGAGTTTTTTTGTTAGGGAAGGTTTTACCCCACAGAGGGAGGGGTGTGCATTTGCTACAACCTGAAAAGAGCACAAGAAAGGAGCTTCCTCTGTCAGCCCCATTCCTGTGCTCGTTTTTCCTACTGTCAAGGCCGGGCCAGGGGTTGCTTCCACACTACTGTGAAATGTTGAAAATCTATTGGGAGGAAATTGTGTTACAGAACTGTTGGGTAATGCCAAAAGCCAGCAGAGGCGAGCATGACCTTCAGGCTCCTACTGAAGGGCACAGTTGGCCTGCTTGTCCTGAGGAATGTTTTTGGTTCCCCATGTCTGATACGTAGCAGACTGTTTTGAAGTGAAGCACAAGGCCCTGCCTCACCTGCTGTTCTAGTGGACATGCTTTGAGGGCACTAGGCACAGGTGAAAAGCGCTGCTGAAAGGGCAGGAAAGTTTCTTGGAATAGTGAGCAGAGTGTGTTACTGATAGTTCTGGGAAACCTTTCTCGTTTCTGCTGAGAGCTCCCCTGGGAAGGCTCAGAAGCTCTTTGCCCACTTTGCACCGATCTTGTTTCCCATCTTTGGGGTCAGATCACATCCCATGTCCAGGTGAGCACTGGCTCCTTTTCCACTACATCAGGGGCAGGGCAAGGTGCTGGCTAGGCGCATGTGAGTAGCGAAAGCGTGTGGCTTGCTTCTGCTTCTCATCACTTGTGCAGCCTGTGTGCTTGCATGTGAGGAGGCAGTGGGCTTGGCAGCTGGCTGGGTAGTTTTGCATAGAGAATGGATAAAAATGCCCCTCAAAGTGTCTCCAAGCTAATTTTGCTCAGTCTGTCATGTCATTTTGTGTGTGAACCAGAAATCCCTCCGTGAAAAGTCTTGGGGACGTTGTGAGTTGAATAAACTGACTTGCCTCATGATCCTCTTCCTGTGCCATGGAAGATTGAGGCTTTTCTGCCCTTGAAGTGGTTCTCTTTTTACCCATAGATTGTCAGGCACTGAGTGGCTTTGGAAGGCCGCTGCAGTCTCTGCCGCTTCCATTTTGTTTGTGCTGTTGCAGTGACCTTCACACTTCAGGAATGAAACTGTTTCTAGGAACATGCTTTTTAAAGTGTTGTCAGAGTACTGAGACTGAGCACACAGCCCCCTCATCCCCAGAGAGGAAATAGATCCACTCATGGGGCAGCTCAGATCTGGGTTGGTAAGTTATGCCCAGGTATAGAAAGACTGTGGTTGAAATGAGAAAGAAGTTCGGTCAGGGGGACCTTAGACAAAGGAAACTATGCACAGACACAAAGGAATGTCTGGGAGAGGGGCTTCTAGCTGGCTCTCTTGTCCCCTTCTTTTAAAAGCTGACACTTTCAGCTGCTTGGATGGTGGTGCTGCCCTGTGCACAGGACTGCTTAGAAGACCATAGGTGGCAGATTCCTCTTGTGAGCTTGGGGTGGACTTGGCCTTAATTCAGTTCTGCCTTCAGCTAGAAGATCAGAGGGCCTTTTTCTAAGCCTGAACATAGCATATTGCTGACAAAGCAGTATTTTGTACAGATCCCCATGCTTCTTATGGGCATCTGCTGAAAGGCAGCAAGTTCTGGGGTGCATAGCATCACACAGGTGCAAACATACCTCGGGGAAGTGAAGTAAAGTTGGGCCTTTTCCATTTTGGTTCAGAACAGAACAGCAGGGGGAAGCCTGACCTGGCTGGAAAGTTACGTCAGAGCTAAAGCCCTCACGAAGAGTAGGAGGAGTGGTGTTCCTGTTTCACCTGGAATTAAAAAGACTTTCTTAGTAAAGTGGTGTAATATTTCTTCATACCATTTTGGGGGTGGGTTACCTGTCACCACTCCTGCCTGCATCAGTGCTTTGGAAATGGCCCCAGTCCCAAAAGGCATCAGGAGTCACTGCAGAGCTTGCAGCCTTTTCATTTTTGGCCCAGGGGAAGCTGTGGAGCGCAGGAACGGGATCCATGCAGGGGCTGGGGACTGGGACCACTAGGTGAGGGCGCGCGTCGCCCTCCCTTCCATCAGAGAGGAAGAAAACCCGGGCGGTTTGGCGGCGTCAGTCGGCAAAGTGGTGCTGTCACAGTTAATCGCCCTGACACCCGGCCAGATGCCGACACCTCCGTGGCCACCACTGCTGGGTGACAGACATCTGTGACATTGAGAGGGGACCGATGCCCTTCTGTGCCTGGCTGCCCTTCTCCCCTTTCTGCCCTCCCGGGCCAGATTCACCTTCACGGGTAGAAGTGGCGCCCGGGCCCGCCGGTCGTGTTGGCGGCAGCAGCAGGTCACCCCGTTACTTTCTCCACCGGGCTCGCATTTGCTCCCGGCGTTTGCCCGAGGTCACTGACAGCAGTTCCCCGGGGACGCGTTTCTCCCTTCAGGGCCTCTCTCGGGCCCGCCACATCGCTTTGCCAGCCCCGTCCCTCAGCCCGGGCTGCCCGTGCCCCTCTCGGCTCCCCCGGGGACGGCGGAACAAAAGGTTCCTCTGTCCGCCGGGGGGAGCGGCTCCGCCTCAGGGGCGCCCCCTCCCGCCGAGGCTCCCTCCGCCCCTTGCCCGGCGGGACCGGGAGCCCCGGGGCCCCTGCCCGGGAACTCCTGCGCCCCGGGACCTCGTCACGGTTCCGTGTTGTGACTGATTCTCTGTTGTCTTTGCAGTTGTCGAAGGCTGCGCCCGCTCTGGGGGATGGGGAGCGGAAACCCAATGAAGGTAAGCGCTGGGTGGCTTCCCGGCGGGTGGGGACGACCCGGGGTTGGGGGGAAGGAGCCCCCGGAGCCACCGGCGGCCAACACCGCCACCTTCCGGGCAGCGGGACCGGGGGCTGCCGGCGGGAGGTGCCGCCGCCATCAACCCCTTCGTGGCGGCCTCAGCGTCCCCGCCCCACGCCGCGGGCCCGGGCCGGGCCGGGGGTGGCCGTGGGGACGGGCTCCGGGGCGGCCGCGGTGCCAGGGCGGGTAGCAGGGCTGGCCCAGCCCGCCCCTGGCTTACCACAACTCTGAGGGAAACTGCGTGCGTGCGCTGGTGCACATACGCACGCTCATTTATATATATATATATATATATATATATATATCTTATCTGCGCACACACGGGGGCACACAAAGAGCTGAGTAGCGGTGAGTAGTTTGCTCAGGATTCGCCACAGTGCTATAGGAAGGGATTTGTCAAATTTTGCTGCCCACCTCTCTCCCGGTGGTGCTGGTGATGCCCAGCTGGGTGGCCAGGGCTGATCCCCGAACAAAGGCCAGAGCAGCCCCCAGACGGCAGGTCTCTGAGTAAGAGAAGGAGAAAGGGACAATCTAGGATGGTTTTCTAGGCTCATGCCTCCCAGCAATGTCAGATACCCCTGCAGTCAGGAAATTGTAAAGAGCCAGGCTTGAAAAATACACCTTTTTATTCTGGTTTGGGCTAGCAGACTTTGCCGATTCAGGAAACAGCACTGTGATCTGATAGGTTCTACTGATTTGTTCCTGGTGGTCCAGTATGGACAGGACCATTGCCTGGCGGGGAAACAAGGTGGTGCCTTTCCAGGTGCTGTGATCTTGTGTCTTTCTGGTTGCCCAAAGGCCAGGTTGTGACGGTGTCCCCTGCCTCATTGGTTCATGGAAGTAAATGTAGACCAGAAGGACAGTCAGCCCGTGGCTTAGTCAGAGACGCCTCCTGTGAGCTCCCTGTCTAGTGAAGCCCTGTGTGTCAGGAGGTCGGCTTCTCTCCACACACCTCAGTTCAGCAGTGGGATAAAAGGGCTGTGAACTTCGGAACCTTCAGGCTGAGGTGATCATCACCTGTTTTAAGACCATCCTAACCGTATTTTCCCCTTAACTGCATAGCAGAGCAGATCGCTTGTTGCATGGCAGGGTCTGGCAGACGTCTTGCAGGGTCCCCATGGGCTGTGACCTTCAGCGTTATTCCAGCTGGAGGTCAGCAGAGGGCTCCAGCAGTGTGGGCCGAGATTGGCTTTTTTTTTCTTTTTTTTTTTTTTTTTTTTTTTTTTTTTTTTTTTTTTCCCCGTAGCTGTCAGTTTCAATTTCTGTAACTTTATTGGTGTGACAGACTCCATGTGTGTCGCCAGAGGCTTGTGGCAAACTGTGCTTGGTATAGGTGTCCATTTTGCACAGCCAAAATTTCTGGTTTGCTGGTGGGCTGCTGTCTGTTGTTCTTGACCCTTGCTCCTGCTGAAGTCAACAGAAGAAGGTTCAGTGACTCTAGCGGGATCAAGATGGAGCCTGCTGTGAGGCTTATTTTGGTAACCAGTCCTCTGCTGTTGGTAGAAAAGAGCTAGTACTCATCTGTGCCATTTGTTGTGTCCAACAAATCCCTCCTGTGGAGGGAAAGAATAAAGCAGAATTAACTTCTGTCACAAGAAGTCTGATGGGATTGCAGTAGAAGCTGGTGTGGCAATATAAGTGGTGAGACTTTGGTGTTGTTGTCTTGCTGCTATTTCAGGTTCTGTGATGTAGATACATCTGTGAAATAGAAATCAGGACTCCTGGCACTTCCTGGCTCTGCTTCTGTGGTTTGACCTTAGAGGTCCTCTCTGTGTAGCTCAGTTTCTCATCTGTGAAGAGATGATGATGAGCTTCTGTTAACCAAGGACAGTCCCTTCCACTGAAGCTCTTAGGGCTTGGGGTGAAGGGTGGGTTTGTGTCTTTGGCCATTTTATGCTTTCTCTGACCCATCAAGCTGTGACAGGTTTTTATTTGGGGTGGACTTAATTCTATTTGGAGACTGTTATTTTAGCTTCAGCCTCTACCCTTTTGTGCTCAGGAGAGGTTTCCACATGTTTTGGGGCACAGGAAGTTGTAGAGGAGTCAGACAAACACTCTTTGTTTCACAGGAGAAGATTTTTCTGGTATAAATAAAGGAAACCACCACCACTTGTGGCTGCACTTTTATTTTTAAAATAGTAGTGTGTCTATATTGCTGCTAAGCCGTTGATGGGGAGGGAGACAAAATGATCACAGACTTTCTCCTTTTTCTAGTCCAGCATGTTATCACTTGACTGCTTGAACTTAAACTCTGTGTTGAAGAGTTAATGTGGGTCCTGTCTTGGTTTTAACCTTACTTCCCCTCCATTCACGACAAAGAACCTGACTCAAATCTCGTGGTGCTTTGCAGGGTAGGAGTGTGAGTTAATTGTGGGATTAACTTCTAATGTGGTCTGAAACTCAGACTACAGGATAGGAGCAGACCTAGCAGTTAGTCCTTTGGTGACCTTCCTGTGTTCCCCATGAAAGAGACTTTCTTCCATTCATGACACAACCAGTGGAAAGAAAGCACAGGCAGAATCAGCCCAGCAAAGTGTGGAATCTAAGTCCCAGTAGACAGGAGTAAGTGTAAGTATATGATAAAAGGGGCAGGGCTTTGCTGTGAGGTTGACTGTACCTCAGTCATGTGCTCCAGTTTGGTTTGGGTGGTAACTGTGCAAATGAACCAGTGTTGCACAGCCTCCATGTGAATGTTCTGTGTCCAGCAGAGTAAGGCAAGATGCCTTTTGTGGTAAGATTTTCTGACTGGCAGCTAGGGAAAGATTCCCTGGTTCCTTTTCAAAGGCTGATTCAGACTTTGGAAAACCATCACATGTTAAAGTAAAGGTAGAAACTCCCAGATTGTTCATGGGAAGGCTTAAGTCCTGTCAAATCTCCCAGTTCTAAAGTATAGTTGTCAGGGTGCAGCTGTGAAAGTAAAGGCCCTACGAAAGAAGTTGAATGTGCTGTTCTGGGGCCAATCTGTTATTCTGGATTCTCTGGTGTAATCCAAATGCTTGGATAGTGCAAACATTTAGAAAAGCGTGGCAGACGTTGGTCAGTTTCACTTTACTTTTCTACTCTGTTTCGGTTTCTGCCTCCTTTATGCCCCAGACTGGTGTGGTGAGCAGCATTTGATCCGCACAGGTAACTGCTGCTTTCCCTCCCTCTTACTTTCTGTCTCTCCCCTTGATGTAGGTCTGTAAGCATTTTTATCCTGAACTATGCCTTTACTGCCAGAGTTCTCAGATCCTGTGTCTGGCATAGTGTGAATAATCAACAGTGCAGTTCAGCGATTATCTTTGTGCCTGCAGAATTTCCCACATATTAAATTGTTCAACTTGTTGGAACATAGGCGGTGACTAAAGTCACTCCAAAGGAGAACAGGAAAAAGGAGGAGAACGAGGTAGTCACAGACAAGATAGGAGAGCAGACAGGAGACATACGGCAGTTAGGGGAGGAGGGAAGAGTAAGGAACAAGGAATAGAAACATGTTGTCTTCTAGACAAGGAATACCAACAAAGCAGTCCATGCCTGCCAGGCTACATTTCCCTTTCACAAGCCACTTTCTCTTTTAATAGCTGCTCACTCTCTCTGACACTTCAAACTCCTTGGATGGAAGTTCCTCCCCTCTTGTACCCGCTCTCAGCACTATGGCACTGTCAGCCCTGTATGACCTAGAATTAACTTTCAACAATTAACTGCGGGCTGTGAGCTCCAAGCCCTGCAGCTTTTGCATTTTTGTGGCAGAGTAACCTTTATGCCAGTTTGTCACAAGTTCAGGGCACTTCAGAAACGCTTACTGGAGACCATGATTTTCCATGATGCAAGCAGTTTGCTCTTATCACTCTGAGTTATCAACCTTGGTGCTAGAGGACTCTGCATACTGTACAGGTGTATCATTACAGCATGGGGCAGGTACTCTCTCCTTGTGCATACTCTTACCCTCTGATCATGTGAGACATCCTCAGTTGCCAGTGTGGTGCTACAGCTAGGAGGCCTGGAGGACTCCAGGTACTCATTGTTTGCAGTACTGTACTAGCGCCCAGGGTTTGTATGTGTGTGTACTTATCTATACTATCTTTCATCTCTTTAAACCTCTCCAACCCTTGACCAAGCAGCAGAGTGAAGCTTTGGCAAGAGACTGGGAAACATTGAGAAATACTTGTGAAATCAGTGCAGATCGCAAGCAGTTAGTGTTTGCTCCATTTGTAGGGAAGGCATGGGATAATGGCAGATCCACCCTGTTCCCCCTCCTACACTGTCTCATTGTGGTTCAGTAGCCAAATATATAGTCTGGTTAATCCTGGGGGTGCTGTGAGCCTACTTTGAATCTTTCAGTGGGTGGCTTGGTTCTTCAATGTGGGATGGTGGTCAGTGTGGAGACTTGGAGGCTGTCACTTTGTAGTGGATGCTGTCATGGTTCCGTGATGACCTGCTGAGGTGGATGTTCTGCATGGCCAAAAGACATAGATGACAGGAAGGGTAAAGATGCATAGCTCCATGGTTCAGAGCCTCTGCTTGCTCTTAGAAGTGTTTGTGTGCTGAGGTCTGTACAAAGGATGCTTCTGACTTTAAAACCCACTGGGGCATCCACTGGCTGTTTTGAAAGGGAGTAAAGGGCAAACCAGTGAAGGGCCTTAATCCAGAGTGCAGATTATCTCCTGCAGCTTTTTGGCTGATCTGATATTCTTAGTGGCAGCATGCCACTATATGGGGAATAGCAGAGAAGAGGTTTGGGGAATAGTCACCTGTGGCATGCATCATGGTACCAGGGAGGCAAACAGTGAGGCTCTTTTGTCCATCTTGCCTTTGCCCTGAAGCAGCCGTAGATGATTTTTTCCCTTCCCACTTGATGTGTGTGTATGTAGAGCACAGACAAAGGATTTAGGCCTGCAAGACTGTTAGTGAAGAGCATAGGGTAGCTCTGTTGCAACTGTCTGGCTCACTTTAAGGGGTGAAGCACTAGACATTCTTGGGCTAAGTTTGCATTAACTTATTCCCTCCATTCCTCTTTTAGTTATCAAATTCCTGGAAGTCTACGAGCGCAGCTTCTGCAGGACTATTGAGACCCTGGTGGACATTTTCCAGGAGTACCCTGATGAGGTGGAGTACATATTCAAGCCATCCTGTGTGCCTCTGATGAGATGTGCGGGTTGCTGCGGCGATGAGGGCCTAGAATGTGTCCCTGTGGATGTGTACAACGTCACAATGGAGGTGAGGGTCCAGCTTGCAATCTGCCATGCACGGTTGGAAGGAAGCAAGTCAGCCATCACAGCCACCCCAACTCCCAGCTAATTCAGAGGAAATGCAACCTACCCCAGGGAACTTGTCTTCTGACTCTGGTGCTCTGTGTTAAACCACACAGGGTTAAAAGATGAGTCGCCCATGTCTCTTTAAAGCTAAGAGGAAAGTCTGTTTTTTGGCTCTTGCCCAAATACAGTAGGTAGGAGCATGCAAAGGAGTGTTTCTGCAAACGAGCGCTTCGTGCTTAGAGAATGCAAAGGAGCATTTCTGGTGGTGTTACCTCCCAAGTTCTCAAAGAACATATTCCTTGGTTCTTGCTCCACCTTAATTCTACACACAGCTGCTGTTCTGACCCAGCTGAGTAGGGCAAAAGGGGAGAACCTGTTGGTACTCTCTCCTGAAGGGCATGTGAGGTCAGCCTGTACCAACAGAGCAGGGAATTTGGGTCATTAGCTACCCTGGCACTGTAGGGGTTAAAGGGGCTCTAAGAAACAATCTGCTTCTGTGTCACCTGGAAAAGCCTTTCTGCCTCTGGGCATCTTCTTTTGTTTGGAGGCTGCTGAATTCATTTCTTGGAAGAGACAGAGGTGGACATGATAGCAAAGGCTGGGCCAATGGGGAAGATGTAGATTGCTTTAGAGAGCTTTGTTACTGCCCTTGTCTGTGAGGCTGGATCCCAGCTCATGTCCAAAATCATGCTGGTGCCCCTTACCTGTAACCCATGGCTCCCTCACCTACTTTTGTCCCTTAGCCTCTTAAATGGCCACTGTAAATATTGCTGTCACTTTTTAATATTGATGAGAGATGTGCAGTACTAAGTGATTTACCAGCAGGTCCTTTTACTTGAAATTTGGGCTGTGTTGGAACTCTGTTGAAGAACCTGCCTATGCCCTCTCATGGTTCCCTATACTACTTCTCCACTTGAAGGCTCCAGCCTGGGCCAGACCATACTAGCTTGATGTAGCTAGGGATGGTTTTCTTCCTACCATTCCTTGCTGAATTATAGTTCTTGACTGGTATGCCTGCATGCCTGTAAAGAGTCAGAGGCACTTAAGCAGATCTCTAGAGCTAGTCTTCCGTCTGTGTTCTGGGTTAAGAGAATGTGACAATACTCCATAGCTTCTCAATAACTTCCCTGGAGGTACCTGGGGCTTGGGTGTGGGTGATGTCTAGCTTTCCAGGACTCTTTAAAACACAGATCTCCAGATTTCTTTTGTGTGTCAAGTTACTGAGAAAGTGAGATGTCAGCTGGGAAGGAATGGTGGCATAAGGAAGAGGACCTGGATTTGGAATTTTCAACTGGGACCTTTGCGTGCGACTGAGCATGGCTTGTGCACGATCAGGCTGGATGTTCAGCTACTGTTTGTCCAGCATCAGCCAGGGAGGGCTCATTGAGAACCTTGCTATGGTGGTATACCCTCTCCCATGCCTGTCTCCAAGGCAGTCCACCAGAGCTGGCACCAGACATGCATGAGCAAACAGAGCTTTGGCACAAGTCTGGTGTTGCTGCTCGCATGTGATCAAAGGCCTTTTCTGACTGGGAGTACAGGGCCTCAGAGCTAGCTCGAACTCTGCCCTGCTCTTCCCAGGAGCACCTGGGGTGTTAGTGCTTTGCTGTACAACAGCCTGATTTGAAGATGAAGAGTGAACAGGCAGTGACCCTCTCTGTTTCTTTCATTCCAGATCATGAGAATTAAACCCCATCAGAGTCAGCACATATCACACATGAGCTTCTTACAGCACAGTAAATGTGACTGCAGGTGAGAATGGAGCAACACTGGTTCCTCTTGCAATAAACTTACTCTGAGCCTTTCCTTTTTTCTGCCATTGGGTTGGGACTCTTGTTCAGACACTTCTGCAGCCTACTTGGTTGGTTTGCAGTGGGATGGTTGAGCCTGGGAAAAAAAGCCCTCTGCTGTCAGGGCTCTTCCATCTCTAGCTATCACAGGTGGACAGTGCTGACTTACATCCTGGGATCTTTTGGCACTAGCCACCAGCATGGGTCAACAGGAGAGCAAAAGCACTTTGAGACGGACCACTTCACCTGTGCCATGGGCATCCTGCAATGCTGCCTGTACATGTCCTTCCCTGGACTTGATGGGAACTGGGGATGATATCAGAAGTATATGTGATAAACTCTCTTCTAATGAGGCCTTTGTTCTGTCTTTCCCCACAGACCAAAGAAAGATGTCAAAAACAAACAAGAAAAGTAAGTGACAAGCCTTTCCTCCTTTCTCTTTTGGTGGTTGGTTGGCATTTCCTCTCCCCACTTCCCCATGCCCTTTCCTTTGGTTGGATATACTCACTTTAAGGTGTTTTTGGAAATGGCATATGGTACTGCATGGGGCGATGCTCTGAATCCATTCCAGGTGGTCACAGAAACTCAGATCTGATGGTCATTCCTTCATACTCCAGACATGGACCTTGCATGACCCATGGCCATGGCAGTCATTCCTAATGCTTTTTCCCAAGTCAGGGAAGTCCCATCGTGTTTGTCCTGCTGGAATGGATTCAAGGTGCAGCCCCCATTGTCCCCTTCCCTCTTCCTGGGGTGTTTCTGGTTACTGCAAATTGCTGCCTTCCTTTATTAGTAATTTTTTTCTTGCTGCTTGAGTGAGTACTTGCTGGCTTCTTTCACAGCAGCTTTGGTAGGAACTCCGCTGGCTACAGGGAGAGGTGGAAGTAGAGGCCTGGTGGAGGCAGGACTGATGCCATGCAGGATGTGACGCTGGTTTTGGTTGGGTGGGGACCTGGGAGGGTGTAAAGGGAGGTGGATGTCCTAGCTGGGTCTCAGTGAAAGCTTTCATGAAGCATTTTTTGAATATGATAGATTTGCTTTGGTGGCCTGAAGAAGGTTAAGTCACAACCTTCCATTTACTTCTCCCCACAGTAAAAAGGTTGTGGAAAGTAGAAAAGTAAGTCTAATCCTGCAGTAGTTGCAGGGACGCGCATAAAATATGAAACAACATTAAAAAGAAAGAATGATCTCTCTGAGTGAGAGGATCAGCTGGACTGTGCATGACTGGGAAAGCAACTGCCGTTTAGAGGTGTGGAGTTGGAGAGGAAGGAGTGAATATTTGGAGATGCGACTGAATCTGAGACAGAGGGAGCAAACAGGAGAGAGAGAGAGAGCTTCTTTCACCCCTCTCCTGGTGGTTGTATGTTTCTAGCTGCCTTCCAGCCTCTCCTCCTCCCCCTGGAAATCTGCTCCTGGCTGCATGAGACTGCGTGCAGCCAACAGTCCTCTCTGCACAGGGCCGGTCGGGGCCGGTCGGTCTGTGTGGCTCTGTAGTTTGAAGGTGTGTGAGAGTTTGGTCTGTGTGAGCTCTGGTGAGGATGGGGTGTGGGTGTAGCAGCCAGCTCGGATTGTGTTGCATTCACTTTCCTTTTCTAACAGCACCTTGCCTGCTCTTTGCTGGTTCTGCACTCGCCAGGGAAGGAAGGGAAGGGAAGGGATTGGAGAGACTGGTGTGCTTTGATTTGTGCTGGATTGAAAGCCTTGTTATATTGGTACCCCTCTCCTCCCTTCAGGTTGATTTTCTTCCCCTCACCGTCTCCCTGTGACTCCTGCCTGACATGTAGGGCAGAACTGGGACTGAGCTGATGCTCTGACACTTGTTCCAGTGAGACAACTTGAACAGGGCCTAGGAGACACCTATGGTGCTTTCTCTTCTGTCTCCCCAATTCCCTTTGACAGCTCTCTCCGAGGTGGGCTGCACCAGAGAATGAGGGAGCCTTTGCTGAACCGCCTCAGAGATGGGACTCATTTGCCTGACAAGCCCTGGTGGTTTGCCTAGGGCCTTTTCCTTGCATGTCTCTCCCTTGCTTCTGTGCTAATGTGGCTCAAGGAGAAGTACAGGCTCCAGCCTCCCTCACTCCCTGTGCTCTCAAATGGCCCATAGGGATCCATGGTTAGTGTCCATAACTACATGTCCTAGCTCCTGCCTGCTCAGCTCCTGCCCAAGAATGAGTCAACTGGTGAATTTTTCAGAATGGAGTCAGTACCTTGGCTCCATCTGCTTGTTTGTATGGCAGATCCACGTGGAAGGTGACAGGAGGGGAAGGAGGGAAGAACTGAAAGCTGCCTGCTGGTTTTCTCCTGGGTAAAATAACTAGGTCAGGCCTTCCTCTTCCCCCTCTTTACTCTTCAGTACTCAGAATGGAGGCTGCCAGAGGAGATGTTACAGACATCCAAGTAAGGTCTCCTGGAGTCCTCTGAACCACAGGCAGGAGGTGAGGTGAATGAGCAAAGCCTTCAGGTTGGATAACCCTCTCCCACACAGCAGTGCTGTGTAGATCAAATCTCTTCCCTTGTCTGCGTAGTGCTCCCATCTCAGGGCAGGATTGGCACCCGCCCTGCAGCAGAGCTGTTGGAGCTCAGCTGCCCCTTCAGCTAGGCCCAGTGCTGTGCAGTCCATCAGGTCAGAGTTGTTTCCTCTAACCTGAGGAGAGTCCTTTCACTCTGGTTGCCTTTTGTCAGTTGTTGTGCGCCTGTGCTTGTCGCCTGGAATGGTTGTCTGCACTCACTGCGGTGGTGTGATGCTTTCACAAAGCTTTCTGTTCCTTCTCCCTCTCACCCCCTGCCCCTTTCCCACTACCCCTCTCTGGAGGGGGAAGGTGCCCCTCTGAGGCTCCAGCAGATCCACCTCTGCTCGCAGCAGCCTTGCAGGACACAGTCTCTTCTGAGTTCCCTGGTGTTTGCTTGGCTGTGGGCAGGCTGTTTGCGGAGCTGACAGGAGCGCCGGAGCCGGTGAATGTGTGTGCGAGGTGGAGATCTGTGCTTCGGCCCTGGGATTTACTCTCCAGTCCTGCCTCATGTGCTTCTCCCCTCCCAGCAAGGCACATGGCTGTATTTTTTTCCTCTTCTTCCTTGCGTTTTCTTCCGTTTTCTCTCTCTCTCCCTTTCTTTCCCCCTCTCTCTCTTTCTCTTTTTTTTTTTTTTTTTTTTTTTTTTTCCAGAAAATTAAAGTGGGGAGGGGGGGTG